TTTTCTTTTTTAATTTTTGGATTAGACAGCATGTATGGTATGTTATGGCTGTTTTTAAATTGTCCCTGATTAGTTGCTGAGCAAACACGTCGCTGTTTCCAATTCCGTTCGGGAAAAAAAAAAAAAAGGAAAAGAAAAAAAAAAAAGAGGAAAAGAGAAAAAAAGAGGAGAGGAGGAGCAGGAGGAAAAAAAAAACAAAAAAAAGAAAAGTGAAACAAAACCAAACCCGAGAGCAAACAAAACCGACCATGCTGCATACATCCTGTAATACATATCATGTACAGTTTTGTTTTGTGACGTGCAAAGGAAAGCTCGCTGTGGGTGACCCTCTGCGGACAGGACCGATAGCACCGAAGAAGCGTTGTGTTAGCCTAGATCGCTGTCTTAAACCAATAAACCCACGATTGGAGACAGAGTTCCCCTCGGGAGCACTAAAAACGGCCTTTAATTGGGAATAACCGACCGCCACCAGTCAGGAAGAGGTAGATTTCTCTCTTAGCTTTTGATTTCAAACACACCCACCCACAAAAATAATAATACTAATGATAATAATAATGATGATAATAATAATAAGTAATCCGAGTGCCTTGGGTCAGCCACGGCCGATGGCAGTGGCTCCTTTCTGCTCGTCACCAGCTGGGCCGCGCTGGAGCCGCCTCGTGCCCCTCACACCGCCGGCCACCTAGGAACGAAGAGGGAAGAGGAAACTAAGGAAGAGAAAGACATGGCCCACTCAGTCCTAGTTAATCATCATTCTCCTCTGCCTTTTATTGTTATTATTAATTATTATTATTATTACAGTTATTTTTTTTAAAACTGATCCTACCAGTCTAAAGCCCTGCTTGGCTCATGGAGAGAGCTTAAAACGAGATGTAGAACCTGCCCCCCGCCCGCCCTGCCCCAAACTTTTGTTCCCCCTCCCCATCCATGATTAAATAGAATGTGAAACGCGCAGAGGCCCTTCAACACCATTAAACACACAATAAAGGAAATCCGTTTTATGAAGATATTTACTTTTAATAATATCTTTTATTGATTCTGGCACCAAAACAAATAAATCCGGAGCCACTTGGTTGTCAAGCTGACAATCAAATTATAAACTTTAAGACCTCGTGTATACCGTATAAAAAATAAAATAAAGACTGGCAATAATATTTTACCGAGTGTAACAGATAGAGGAGCAAAACAATAAATAAATTGTGATTTATTAGCACAATGTGGTACTGTTTGCCATTTAAAACTAGAACAGGTGTATAAGCTAATATCGACGCAGTGGTGATTAACTATGAACTCTTATAAGACTTGCCTTTAATGTGATGCTTTGGAAGAAGTAACAGGAAATTAAAAAAAAAAAAAAAAGAAAGAAAAAAAGCAAAAGAGTAGCAGTATCTGTTTGTGCTCCCTAAAAGTTGTCCTTCATTTTTTTTTTCCCATCCTCTGTGTGCTATTTGTGTTGACGTGGAAGAGGATTCCTTGTTTTATTCCTAAGCTAGCGCCCGCCCCGGTTGGTGTTCAAATAGCACTTGACTCTGCCTGTGATGTCTGTATCTTTTCTTTAATCAAAGGTACAGAGGTTGAGTATAAAATAAGACTGCTCAGATAGGACAATTAAGTGCACTGTACAATTTTCCCAGTTTACAGGTCTATACTTTTAAGGGAAAAGTTGCAAGAAAGCCGAAAAGAAAAAAAAAATTAAAAAAATGAAAATTCAACACACATTTGATGAGCATAAAAAAAACAAACAAACAAACCCACAAAACCCCACAAACTTTGCCAGCCATTTACTTGACTAATGAGCTTATCTTCTCGGACGCGACATTACAGCGCTGTGAATGGAAACAGACTCTACACTCACATAAAATGAATGATTGCTTTCACTCCTACAGTGCAAGGATTTTTTTTTTTTGTACAAAAAGAAAAGGATTTAAAAAAAAAAAAACACCACAAAACCTTTTTTTAAATATAAATGTTAAGAAAATTTTTTTAAGGAAGAAAAAGAAAAAAAAAACCACAACACTTCATTATGTTTAGGGGGAAACTGTATTTTAGGGTTCATTGTCTTGGTGGTGTACAAGACTTGTTACTCATTTTAAAATGGTAGTGGAAATTCTATGCCTTGGATATACACAGCTCTTCAGGTTGTATAAAAACATGCATTGGGGAAAGGTTTTAAGATTATATAGTACTTAAATATAGGAAAATGCACACTCATGTTGATTCCTATGCTAAAACACATTTATGGTCTCTTTTTTCTGTATTTCTAGAATGGTATTTGAATTAAATGTTCATCTAGTGTAGGCACTATAGTATTTATATTGAAGCTTGTATTTTTAACTGTTGCTTGTTCTCTCAAAAGGTATCGATGTACCTTTTTTGGTAGTGGAAAAAAAAAAAACCACAGGCTGCCACAGTATATTTTTTTAATTTGGCAGGATAATATAGTGCAAATTATTTGTATGTTTCAAAAAAAAGAAAAAAGACAAAAAAGGTGTGACATTGTACAGATCCGAGGCCATATAATGGCCCTTTGGGGGAAACCTGTTCCGATGTCACGCTGCTGGCCGTCACAGAGGGGTGTACATATCTTTTTTCGTTCTTTTTTCCTGCTGCCATACTGTATGCAGTACTGCAAGCTAATAACGTTGGTTTGTTATGTAGTGTGCTTTATGTCCCTTTCCTTCTATCACCCGACATTCCAGCATCTTAACTTCATATGCAGTAAAAGAAAGAAAAGAAAGAAAAGAAAAGAAAAGAAAAGAAAGAAAAAAAAAGCTAAAAAAAAAAAGGAAAAAAAAAAAAGAAAAGAAAAAACCGTTTTGCAGTTTTTTTCATTGCCAAAAACTAAATGGTGCTTTATATTTAGATTGGAAAGAATTTCATATGCAAAGCATATTAAAGAGAAAGCCCGCTTGAGTCAATACTTTTTTGTAAATGGCAATGCAGAATATTTTGTTATTGGCCTTTTCTATTCCTGTAATGAAAGCTGTTTGTCGTAACTTGAAATTTTATCTTTTACTATGGGAGTCACTATTTATTATTGCTTATGTGCTCTGTTCAAAACAGAGGCACTTAATTTGATCTTTTATTTTTCTTTGGGGTTTTTTTGGGGGGGGGAGTTTTTTTAAAATTTTTTTTAATTTTTTTTTTTTTTTTTTTATTATTTGGATGACCAAAGGTCATTACAACCTGGCTTTTTATTGTATTTGTTTCTGGTCTTTGTTAAGTTCTATTGGAAAAACCACTGTCTGTGTTTTTTTGGCAGTTGTCTGCATTATCCTGTTCATACACCCATTTTGTCCCTTTATTGAAAAAATAAAAAAAAAACCTTAAAGTACACAGTGTCAGCTTCTGGTGTCCTCATTTGACACACGCTGTAGGTGGCTCCAGCAGCAGGCTCTAGGGGAAGGCCCCGCGCAGGCGCCTTTGGGGGCCCCGCTCCAGCGCCCACCGCCCAGCTTGGCCTTACCTAGACCAGCCCCTGTGCCCAGCAAGGGGATTTTTGGGCTAAGGAGGTCACTGCCCACCAGTGGAAGGTGTTTGCAGTCTGGACACGTAGCTTTGGGATGTCCCCCTCTAGATCAGGAGTGACTGTGAGCCCTCACCGCGATAGCCCTGCGGCACCCCGGCCTTCACCCGCTCTGCAGCAGGGACCTGCCCGTGGGGCAGATTGTGCCACGAGAGGTGAGCAAACCACAGCTCTGCAGCCCCCAGGGCTGCCCCGTCCCCTGCTGCTTTTGGGGACGGGGTGAAGTCGCCCCTGGCACCTGTGGGCTGATTTCTCTGGGGGGCCGAGGTCTCTGGGGTCGCACCGAGCCCAGCCCAAAGCTCCCAGCCCCACTCCCAAGCTGGAGCTGGGAGCTCCCTGCTTTTCTCCCTGGGCTTTGATTTTTTTCTTGGCTTTCTGGTGGGAATTGCAGGTTTCTGTGCATTGTCTCTAAAATCCAGAGTTCAGGTCCCCCCTGTCCCCCCTTAGGGGTCTGTATATGTTGTCAGTTTGACAAATACTGCATGTTGCAGCATCTCTTTACTTTATTAAAGCACATACCGCTGTGATATTGTCTCTTGCTGTTCCTAGTGTAATGGATTTAATACTATTTTTTTCTTTTCCTTTTTTTTGATTTCTGTAAAACCTTCCAGTTGTTCTGTTGTCTTCTTGTGATGGCATCATTTGTTGCCTGTATTTTGCCCGGCGCCTTCTGAAGGGGGAGGTTTGGAATTTTAAAAAAAGACAGAAATACCTATCTAAAAAAGAAAAATATATTCTTTTTCTAAGACAGTTTTGAAAAGAGTGTAGTAAAGAATGTTTTAGTCCTGGAAGAGGAGGAGGGAAGGTTTTGTTGTCTGGGCTATTGGGATGGGAGTGCGGGAGGGCTGGAAAGGTGCCGGCAGTGCCCCCCGAGCTGCTGTCCCCTTCTGCAGGGTGGTACCCACTGGCTGGGGCTGCAGTGGTGCCAGAGGGATCCCTGGCAGAGGGGAGGCACAGTCCCAGCCCTGCAGGGGAGCTCGAGGTGGCAGGCATGGACACGGGCTGTTCCCTGCAGGGGCAGTGCCCGCAGGGATGTGCTTTGCAGCTGCCTTGATGATGCTGTGCCGGGAAATACCTGTACAGAGTCCGGTCTCTCCCTCTCTGTCCCTGTTGTTATGGCTGGTTGTTGTGAGGCCACGGTGGAGGTGTTTCCTAGAGGACTGGGGTTAGCTGTGCCCGGGGTTGAGCATAGCCTGGATGTGTTGTGGAGCGGGTGCTGTACCCTGGGTTTGTCCTATGGTGGTCGTTGTCCCACTGCCTTTCCCTACACTGTGTTTTACTTATGGAGTAATCTCATATGGAAGCACATAGGCAGGCATCGCTAGGCAGACCTGTGCTGCTACAGTGGAAAGCAAACTATTGACTTCTCTGTGGAGCATGTGATTCCCAGGTCTCCCAGAGCTGAATTTTCCAGGTTTCCCAGAGAGGAAGGAGCCCGGTGGGTGCCGTGTGGTGCACAGGGCAGGGGCAGTGGTGTGCAGGAAGGAGCGGTGGGAGAAGCAGCTCCCGCTGTAGGAGGAGTTGTCTGAGCAGAGGCTGGCGTGAGTGGCAATGGCCTGGCACCCCACACCAAAGCAGGAGTGCATGGATGTGGCGTTTTCCTGCCAGGGCAGTAAGTCAGGGGTGTGATGAACCCACTGGAGTTTGTTGGGTTGGGGTGTGGATGTGCCAGGCCCCACCACGAGCTCTCGAGCTGCTTTGGCATCCCGTGCACGCATGATCTGAGCTACCCAGAACCTTCCCTGTTTCTGTGCAAAAAGGTGTCTCTAGGAATGAGTGATAGTTGGGCAACAGCATCTATCATTAAAATCTCAAGCTCTGTTTTGAGGGGGACCGTGGGTTTATGGCATGGACCCTTTAGTGTCTAATCTCCTCCAAATGGAATGATTTTTGTAATGAAGGTGCTGAAACAGTATCCAGAATTTAGGCTACAGATGTTTCATATTACTCTGTTTCCAAGGGCTGAGATAATACAGGAATAAGCGATACCATGTCTTTGCTTGACATTCAGGAGGCTGTGGCGTATCTGATGAGATACAGTTTTGGGGTTTATCTAAGCCCAGAGTTTGTACCCAACAGAAAAATGATACCAGCTGCTCTCTTAGACCCCTCCTTCTCTTTTTCCCTCCAATAAAGGTTGAAACTCACTTCTGGCGGATGCATGGACAAATTGTAGTATTGACTAGGAGAGAGTGATACTGCCGGGAGGGCTCTTTGCCAGAGCTGCTGAAGAGATGCTGCTCCTCGAGCCCAGATGCTCGGCTGCTGCTTTCCAACGAGCCACAGGGATGCAGGAGGGCCAGGAGGCGTGGGGGAAAGAACCCCAAGGTTTTGTGCCCCTCAGCAGGACTTAAGCTTTGCATTGGTGGTGGCGTACTAGTGGCTGGGATGGCTGTGCTGCTCTTGGCTGCCTTGGAAGTCCCAGCCAGCTTTAACATTAGCCTGGAAACTTGGGCTCAGACAGGAGCAGCAGCTATCCCTCCTTGGAGGGAAACCGGGCACGGTGCTCCTGACTTCAGAGGAGACATTCCAGTTAATACCCACTGAGGAGCTGGCCTAGGAAGGACTTGGTTACTGAGTCCTGATGGCAGCTCACGTGTAGTAGCCTTTTAACCACTCTTTTAAGTATGAACGAAGTAAATTCCACGGAAAGCAGCTCCCCATTGGGTGGCCGAGGTGGATTTTGCGGAGTGTGTTGACGATGTGCCGGCCTTACCACGGTGTAGCCCTCAGCCTGTCGTGTGGGTAGGGCAGTGCTGGGTGACCAGCCTGGAGCTGGGAATGGCTGCTGGGAATGGCTGCTTTCCGGTGCCCCTGCCATGCTTTGCTGGGTGTGGGCTGGGGCAGTGCAGCTGGAGCTTTGCTGCCGTGTGATATCCACGTGCTGGGAGCTGGGAAAAGCCCTTGGTGATCCACCCGCCGTGTGCCGTGTTACCAGTCCCAATGGCTTCAGCAGGGCCTTCAGCACCTGGGGGAAGCCCACGAGGGCTTGGCAAGGACTAGGAGGAGGTTTGCAAGACAGGCTGGCTTGGTCCCGGCCCAGTAAAGCCCAGAAGTTTTTCCTCCTAAATGATCCCTGTGGTGCCGAGGATGCCGGATGCGGGAGCATGGCCTGAGAGAGCAAGGGCTCCGTGCTGCCGTGTCCCTCTGTGGCAGCTGGGTGTCCCAGATGTTAGAGACAGAAAAGGGACAGACAGAAGTAGGATGAGGGGATGACTCGCACTGTGGGCCATGTCACAGCTGTTCTCTCCTCTGTCCCATGCTCTCTGTAGGTTCGGCGTACCCCCCCAGCTGGCGCGGTGCCCAGGGAGCCCCGGATGTCTGGCAGTTTTCGGATGGAAGTTCCAGAGCACTTAAATTCTGAGAGGAGGTGAAGCTGGGGCGAGCGGCTGGTGGCGTCTGGGCGTGCGGAGGTGCCTCTGTCCTGTGGCTCATCCATCCCTCCATCCATCCCGGGAGAGCCTGAGGAGTCACCCGCCGACAGCAGCTCCCCGGGCTCCTCCTGCCTGCAAGACTATCGTATTTATATTTTGTAATAGAGTACAACACTTCTTTGGGGCTGGGTTTCTCGGTTTTTTGGGGGTTTCTTTTTGTTCACTGGTTTTTTTTTTTCATTTTCTAAAAACAAACAAATGAAAAAAACCCCACCCACCAAGGTCAAGGGCTTAATGATGGCTCCGACTGGCTCCTTTCCCCATGGAAAAGACTGTCTTGCTCTCGTGGACAACTCAGCCTCTTGGTTATCCCCGCAACGTGCCATTCCTCGGGAGGCACATCTGATGTGATGAATTAAAAATAAAGCAAAACACAGTGTAGGTCTGTGGGTGGGTGGGAAATTGCCATAATAAATGTTGGAGCTTTAGGTTTTGTTTGCTCTGTCTTTAATTTTTAATGCTAACAAGGGCCAGACGGCTGGTGTGACTCTGTGTTCCCGTACCGGCTGCTGCAGAAGAGCGAGTGCTGGGTTTTCACTGGTGATGGTGCTGCCACTGGGGGCTGCCTGGCCCTGGTGGACAGGACAGACCTTTCCCACAGAGCTAGGCCAGGAGCTGGGCTTAAGGCTGGGCACTCTGAGTGCTGCTGAGCCACCTCTGGCTTTTGGTGATGCCGAAGGGGGGGTTTCCTTGGTGAATTCCAGCTGTGGTGTTGCATGGGCTCTGTGGTGTCTGCTCGAGGAGAAGCGAGGCCAGCACAGGTTTGGGAAGGGTGACGGCCATGCTGAGAGTCAGAGCAGGGATGCAGAGCCTGTCCTGAGCTGGGGCAGCTGCTGCTGCCAGGTTGTCCTGGTGTTTCCCAGGCTTTGTGTCCCTTGCTCGGCGCTGAGCACCACCAAGGAGTGTCCTGTTGGGGGCCCAGGCTCTGTGCTGAGCAGAAGATGGGTTATGTGAGAGCTTTGTGCTGGCTCTGATGGACTGACAGGCTGTAGCTGCTGATGCCCGTGCTGGGTGGTGGGGATGGGCCTTATTTGGTGAAAGGAGCAGCAAGTGGAGAGGCTGGCTGGGATCAGCGGGATGGAGCCGTGGGGAAAGGGCCAGAGGATTGCTTGGCTTTGGGCATTAACCCAGCCCCACTCCTGTTCTGTTCATCCCTTCATCCCTTGCTTACATCCTGAGTGAGACCCTCACCTGGGTGACTCTGCTGGTGGAACAGCCCTAGGGAAAACGGTGTTGCCTTTCCCTGGACAGTGTTGCTCTTCTGTTTGTTGTTTAAAACCCCAGGCTGTGATTTCCTCCTGGTGCCCTGGGCACAGCACAAACACAGACACTTGAGTACCTTAAAATCTGCCTGGGGTGGGCAGCAGGAGCATCTCTGAGGGGTGCCACTCTGGAAGCCTGAAGGGATGGACACAAAGGGAGCTATTGCTGCTTCTCCTGAGGTGATCTGGTCCTTGAGGGCAAACTACCCAAAAATCTACGCACAGCCTCAGCTCTTTTTTTACCATGAGGGGACGTTTTTAAAGTTTCTTCCTAACCCAGCCTGTGCTACCACCTCTGTGTCTGCTCCTAGGGGGGTTTTGAGCCTTGCAAGGGTGAGTCCTGTTGGATTAAGCACCTGATTGATTGTGAGTGCAAAAGCTGGTTGTGCTTTTGCTGCTCTGCCTAGTGGAACAAGTGATGGGATCTGCCTCCTCTGGCTGTGGCTTGTGTCTCCAGCAGGCAGTGTGAGGGCAAGGGCTTCTCCCAGAAATAACAAAGTGGGGGTGGCTGAGAGTGTTCTGCCAAGCACAGAAGCGATACCCGAAATGCTGAAGATGTAGTCAAACAGTCTTTAAAATGTCTATTTTTTAATACAGTTGTTAAAAACTCTCCCCCAACTCTTAGGGCTTTGAAACACCTTCAGAATTCGTGTTGCCTTAACGGGTGCCATGTCTGTGCTGAGAGCCCCCTGTGAGCCATGGGGCTCCTGCTCCTGCCCCTTCTCCTGCTCCAGACCCTGCTGTGGCTCCTGCAGAGCCCCAGCACAGCCTCAGCACCGCGGCAGGTGGAGATCCCAAAGGATTTCCACTGCCCTGGGTGACCTGGGGGGCTGTGTGTTTAATTCAGGGTGTCATCAGGGCCCTCCTTTTGTCTGAGCAGAGCTTGGCTGAGTCCCCTTGCTGTGTCTGGCTTGGGATCACCAGCAGCTTAATGAGCTTCTGCCAATTAACAGGAGTCCAAGGTTTGCTGTGAGGGGAGGGCTGGGAAGTTGTTAGAGGGGCAATATTCCCAGGGATTTTGTATTTTGGCATATTCTCCAGGTGCTGGTCTGCACATCCAAATTGGAAATAAGGTGTCGTTGGCCTTTATTAAGAAAACAAAGCTCATAAAGTTTTGGGGTTCTTAGTAAAGAAAAGATTAATGTTCTTCCCAGTCCTGGGGGATGAGATGAACAAGATTCCTGGGAATCACCTGGCTTAACTTTGAGGGTTTGGGTTTAAAAAGCTGCTTTCAGGCTTGGAGATGATGTGCCTATGCTGTGTTTGATTTCTAAGCACACTTTTCCTGACACTAAAATGCAGCAAAGGTCAAGCCTTTTGTGAAGTCTAGCTTAAATTTTGCTTTCAAAATAATGTATGTTTTGGATTCGTGGTGCATCTGGGCTGTGGACTTTTATGGGATGCAAGATCTCTCCCCAGCAGGGATCTGAAAACAGATTTTGTGAGTGAGTTTCCAAGCAAAACTGCCAAGCTCCTTGTGGTTTTTTCCAGATTTGTGTTGGGTCCCACTGCGTGACTGTGTTCAAGCAGCACCGTGGTGTCGGTGGGTGACAGCACAGCTGAGAGCTCTGGGGGAAGGTGCAGGGAAGCTCCATCCTCCTTGGGGTATTTTAGCATCTTTAGCCTTTCCTTTGGGTTTGCATCTCCTTTCCTGTGTGTGTTTGAGCTGCCTGGGTGCTGGTGAGGCCTGGGGTGAGCCTTTACCTGTGGAATTTTGGCAGTGAGGGGGGAAGGACCTACTGTGGTTTTACCTGACCCCACTGAAGAGTCTCACTGGGGAGTGAGCTGGACCCCCCAGCCCCCAAAAACAGGAGTGGTGCCTCATTTCCTTCTGCTCTGCTTCTCCTCCCACCCAGCTCTCCCATTCCAGGCTCCATCATTCCACTGTGTGCTGTACCTGCTGCAGGTCAAACATTGCCCCTCCATCCCAGTTCTCTCCCCCAAAAATCATCCTTTTAGTGTTCCTCTTCTGCAGGGGTCCCAACAATCAGCTATTCCCAAGGCAAGGTGGAGTTGCAGAACAGGGACAGAATGAAACTCCCAAACCCCCAACATGGCCCTTCCTCCTTAATCTCCCTGGATAGAGTTACACATCTGGTGGAGGCTTGCTGGTTGTTGCCATGATTTTATTGCATCTTTAGCAGTGATGAGGTTCAGATGGCAGGACCAGGGGGCCCCGGTTCCATTTCTCCTGCTGGCCTCCTGTAGTGAGTGTGGTGCAATCCCTGGAACGCCGGCTCCGAGGGCGGGAGCGGGGGCAAATCCTGGCCCTGGGCATGGCAGCAGCTGGGTGGAGGTGCCTGTGCTGGGTGACCACCACATTCTGCACGGAGGGGGACGATGGGCAGGTGGTTTCTCCTGACAAAACCCATTTGGTGCATTCCCACCTTTGGTGCATTCCCACCTTTCCTGTGCCCGGGGTGTGTGTGCTGCGCCGCTTCCCGAGCTCGGTCCATCCCCAGTGGCTCTTCCCTGGCCCTTTCCATGACCCTCTGGGCTCCCAGTGGTGATGTACAGAAGCTCCCCCCAATGTCTGCATGTGTCTAAGGGCTATTCAGGACTCCCTGGCGGGCCCCCGTGGGCGGGATTTGTGCATGCAAAATGAAGGTTGTGTTTGGCTTCTCATACTCGGGTCTATATTCCATATTGTGTTGACCAAGAAAAACACCTCAGCCCCTGTGCTGAAGAATGTGATGGACTGATGGCTTTCAGAAACGTACTGTAAATCAAGGAGGCTAATAAATACTTGCTATTGATAAAACAGGGCTACTGCCTTTCAAGTTATTTGCATGCTTTGCAGCATCCTGGTTTAAGTGGCACGGAGAAAGTGGCACCTTTGGGCCTCTCCTCCTCCCCCTGCACTCTGTGGCTCAGTTGAACCCCCAAAGGCTTGGGCAGGAGCTTTTCCTCAGTGAGGAGGTTTGGATGGAGCAGCCCAACCCCATGGAGCTGATAGGGGTGACCCCAGAGGTGCAGGGTCCCCTTGGCAGAGGGTGGCCTCTGGAGCCCTTGCTCCATGGCTTGTGTCCATGAAATCCCCCACTGGTGGGCATCCCCAAAACCCCCTGTGCCCCTAATTCCACTATATGGATAAAGCTTATTTTTCATGTTCTCCTTCCAACAGACCTGCTCCTTGCTCCCTGCCTGGCACGCTCTCCTGGGCTTTGGCTTTTCCATGTGGAGGCTTCGGGGAGGAACATCCCTTTGGGAGCTGCTCTGCACCTGGCTGCTCCAGTTGGCTTTTTTTTGTTTTTTTTGTTGCCTGAAATCCCCCTTTAGCTGTTTTCCTTACTTTTTTCCCTCTCTCCCCTGCACCTTCTGCAGCTGTAGTGATTAAAGGGGAGGGGAAAAAGGAAAAAAATAAAAAGCTTATTTAAAGCAGAGCCTGGCAATATAAAACAAGGTGTGGAGGTGATGAATGATCCCGGGGTACATTAAAGCAGGGGCTGGCACTCTCGTGTTCCAGCGCTCCCAGAGCTGTTTGGGAATGCCGAGCATCCGCCCCGGGGCAGGATTCGGGCAAGTTCCAAAACGTCCCCTGGGATTCGGGCAAGTCCTGGCTGCTTTCCCTCTCCCTGAGACCCGGGTGCTGCTGCTCAGAGGCGGGGCTGGGAGGCCACGGAAGGACAGAAGGACAGAAGGACAGAAGGACAGATCCCCCTGGCCCTGCTCCGGCTCCTGGGGCGACGGGAGCAGAGGATGGATGGATGGATGGATGGATGGATGGATGGATGGATGGATGGATGGATGGATGGATGGATGGATGGGCACCCCTGCAAGGTGCAGGGATGGGGAAAGCCTCCCTGGCTTCCAAATGCTTTTTGGAAGTGCATTCCCAGCACTGTAGTCAGGAGAGAGGAAGGAAAAGAGCAGAGCTCATTGCATGCGAGGAGCAAGGGCAGGTGCAGGGAAATTATGCATTTTTCCAGACTGGCTTATTCCCTTCTGTGTATTAAACATTATTTTAATATTCGAGTGACAATGTTTCATAATTAAGCCAAGTGTAAGAGCTGGAGCACGCTGGAGAGCTGGGCTGGGTGTGGGGAGGTGAGCAAGGCTCCCAGCCCCTGCCCAGGATTAACCCAGGCTGCAGCATCCTCTGGAACCCCAACACACCCCATGCCCGGGCAAGGAAAACCTTTCACTCATAAAGGTTGTAATGTTAATACAGAAGAAAAGCCTTTTAAAAAATACATTAGTTCACAGCCATCTATTGAACTCATGAGGGGAAATCTAGCCCCTGAGAGATAGAAACTAAAGAGCTGAGCCATAAACCAGTACGATAACATCCTTATTATAAGATGCAAATTAAGGGGCCCAATTCACTTTAAAAAAGCATTATGAGTATTTAATTTTTCTAGTGGGAATCTCTGAAGTTGGCCTGTGTGTGGTTTTTTGTGCTGTGCACTTAAAATAAAAAAAGGAGAAAGTCAGTGAGGCCATGAAGGAGAGCTGAGGGTGCTGAGGGTGTGGGAGGAAGGAGCTGGTGCTGAGGGCGGCAGCAGGAGATGTGTTCACTCTGGGTTGGGATGAGGAGCTCCTGGTGCAGGCCTGCAGCTCTGCAGTGGGGTTTCAGTGGGGTAAAACAGGGTCTGTTCACTCTGGGTTGGGATGGGGAGCTCCTGGTGCAGGCCTGCAGCTCTGCAGTGGGGTTTCAGTGGGGTAAAAAGGGTCAGGGCCTGCCCTGGGTGTGTTTTAGGGTTCCATCTCCAGAGAAGCGGGCTGGCTCCCTGTGCAGCTCTGACCCTTTTTTCTGTGTTCTGGGTTTCTCTGCCTGCCCTGGGCCTGGCACCTCCTCCTGGGCTGCCAGGACGCTGCCACCAGCGCTGCTGTCACAGCAAACTCTCAGTGCCAGAGGGACCTCGAGGCTTTGGGTGCTTTGCTTGTGGCTATTTTCACAATGGGAGTGATTTGAGGGTTAACCCTATCTGCCTAGCTGGGTTTTCCTGGCCATTTCTTGCTTCCTGGAGCTTTTAAAAGTTATTTTATTCTTTTCCCTCCCCTCTGAGGTTGGAAGATGGTGCAATTGCTGCCCTTGGCCCTGTCCTTGCTGTTTGTCACATGCTGGAGGTTAAAGCCTCGAGCCAGGAGAAGGACTTGACGTGCAAGGTGGGGACAGCTGGGACAAATAAAAAAGAGATACACCAAGTACTCCATCCAGCTTTAGAGTTGGAATGTCAGGAAAAGCACAGAAAATGTGATACCATCACTTCACACCCTCCAAGACAAAAGAGCTGGTTCAGCCCCCAGAGCCATCCAGAGCCTGGAATTGTCCTTCCAAATGTAGAAAATAAAACAAGGAGCCCTACCCTGGCAGATTGCTTTTCAGAGGGGCATTGCACTGCTCTCCTATATAATGTGCAGAGGTCAGAGGCTGAGCAAAACAGCCAGACCAGGTAAATGCATTCATTTGAAACCTGGGGATTTTATATATTTTGTGGCACTGTAGAGCATCTCTCCAGTTCTGGGAGTGAAAGTGGGATGGGATGGGATGGGATGGGATGGGATGGGATGGGATGGGATGGGATGGGATGGGGGCTCTGCAGCCTGACTTTGGGGTCAGGCTCTGCTCCCCCACCTCAGCTGCTGCCTGGGGCTCAGGCCATGGAATAACCGGGTTCTCAATGTGCTGGGGAAAACCCTGGTGTGCAGCTGGTCCCCAGCAGCTGAGCCTGCACAGGGTCTCTGCCGTGCTCAGAAACTTCTCATCCCAAGGCTGCCTCCTTATCCCTCCTTCTGACAATCAAATTCTTCTTTCCAAACCCCTGTTTGCAAGGAATATTGCTGCTTTTTAAAGCAGCACTGGTGCCCCCAGCCAGCAAGGACCATAAAGCAGTGCTGGGCAATGCCTGTGGCAGGCACTGTGCCCAGAGTAAAACGCTCCTTGCTTTGAGGGATTTTTTTTTAAAGAAAGAAAATAAATCCTGTGTACCTTTTCCTTTTGTTTAAGAATCATAAATTCAGCAGCTAACAGGGCTAGTGGTCCATGTGGGCAGCAGCATGGGGCCATAGGTTAGTTAGCCTGGGAATATGTATGGGGCTTTGCTGGCCAGGCATGCTGAGGGGGCTCAGGTATTAAACACCCATTAAAAACCTCTCTAAAAAACAACACCAGACGAACCTTTCCTGATGGAGCAGGGCATAGCACGATCCACAGACCTACAGAAAGAGCTGTTTCAGGGGTGTTTCCCCCCCACCTCCTCCTGAATCTGCACAGGAGCACCTGGAGCACCATGTGGCCAAAAAATCACCGGGACCAGACTTTCACTTGTGGCTTCCAAAGCGAACTTTGTGGGAAGTCAAAGGATAAATATCCCAACAATAAAATAAATATATAGATAGATATATTATATCAATATATTGCATATATTTATTATATATAAAATATATTTTACACATTATAGAAAATAAATATTTATTAATATATTATATCAAGATAATAAATTATATCAATATATATAACATATTTATTATATGTTTATTATATGTAATAAATATATATAATATATTATATAATATGCAATCTATAATATGTAATCTATATTATATATTATATATATTATATTATATTATATTATATTATATTATATTATATTATATTATATTATATTATATTATATGTATCGATATACTATATCAATATACTAAAATATAGCAATATATTCTATATATTTATTATATATAATAAATATGTTATATAGATGATATAAAATAGATATATCAATATACTACATCAATATAATAAATTATATCAGCATATTGTATATAATATATAATGAATATATTATATATTATATATTATATATATAATATATATCAATGTACTAAATTTGATCAATATATAACATATATTTATTATATATAAAATATATTATGTATTATATATTATATAAGATAAATATATATCAATATACTGTATCAATATTCTAAATTATATCAATAGATATTATATATTTATTATATATAATACATATATATATAATATAAAATCAACATATCTCAATATATCAACAACAAATATCCAACAATACAAAGCCCGTGGACAAACCCCGGGTGATAACTTCCCACAACCATTTCCAGCTCGTGTTGCACCCCCTAACTCCCCTTTCCTGTGGATCTGGAGCAGCAGCCCCATAAATCCTGGGCACCCGGTGCTTTATCGGCTGTCCCGGCTGTCCCCGCCAACCGCGGCGGGCCGAACATCTGCAGGGAGGGAAATCCTCCCCATCCCGCCCGCGGCTGCGGTTCCGCAGCCCGAGCTGAGAAATGGGGAAGGATGTCCCTCCCATGGGCTGGCACTGACTGAGGGCAGGGTGACAGCCGCGCTCCTGCACCCCCGAGCCCTGCCTTGTCACTCGAATATTAAAATAATGTTCAATACACAGGCAAGGGGCGGGATGCTGAGAGCAGAGCTGGGGATGGGCTGGGAAGGGATCGGGAAACCTCCCAGGGGGGTTAAAGGCAGCTCTGTGCCCGTGTGTGGCCCTTGGGAAGAGCATTCCACACCACACAGCACCTTGGTTTAAAAAATTATTTAAAAAAATTATTAATAAAAATTAAATAAAAACAAGAAAACAACCCTTTAGTGTCCCTTTGTAGTTGTGTTTTGTCCCTTTAGGAAAGCCTTTGGCTTTTGGGAGCAGATGATGTGTTTGTGTCTCACTGAGGTCTGCATCACCTTTCAAGGCCCAGGGACCCGAGGAAAGTTGAACTCTCTCAGGAGCTGGGAATGCTCTGGGAATGATCTGCAGAGGCTGCAGGAGGT